AAAGACAAGGACAGGGCCCTGCTAGGAGAGGACAGCTTTGTCAAAGCGACCTTGCAGCTCCTTGTTTATAAAGCAGACGTGATGCCAGCACTTAGGCCCGAGTTGTGCTGTGGATCCAGAGCCGATGACGCCTGTCCTCAGGGGCTCTGTCTGTGGTTTCCTCATCCCTTCGCACTGAAAAAAGAATGTCCCTGACGTGCTCCGCACTGGAAGGTGCCTCCTGAGGTCTGGTGACATCAGCATGCCGTCTTCACAGCCACTCACTCTACAGGGTGCAGCCGCCACTGTCCCACTTTACAGATTAGGCAAGTGAGGCCCAGAGAGGCAGAGTGACTCACCTAAAATCACACAGCAAGTCCTATTGGAGTAGTGGATTCAGGATTTGAACTCAGTGCTACAGCTCCAGTGTCCACACTCTTTACCACGGGCCTCAGTTTTAAAAACCGTATTTAAAAAAAAATTTTTTTAATATTTATTTATTTTTGAGAGACAGAGCATGGGTGAGGGAGGGGCAGAGAGAGAAGGAGACACAGAATCCAAAGCAGGCTCTGGACTGTGAGCTGTCAGCACAGAGCCGACGCGGGGCTCAAACCCACGAACCGTGAGATCCTGACCTGAGCTGAAGTCAGCTGCTTAACTGACTGAGCTGCCCAGACCCCCCTTAAAAAGTGTATTTAACGCTCTCTGTCTACATGGGGTGGGTGGGGTGCCAAGGCCAGCCGAAAGAGGGGAAGCTGGGAACAGAGCCCCATCTGGCCTGTGAATGCCCTTCCACCTGCCCCCCCAGACTTCTCATGGCTGCTGAGTCCACACTGCCTGGCACATGGCTTCACTCGGCCCAGAGCCTGCCAGGGCTCCCTGCGGCCCCGGGCTCAGTCCAGAGTCCTGCGCCCGGAATTTGCGGGTGCCCAGCTGGGCCTCTCTGACCTTTGTGTGGGGGCGGCCCTCCCCACCTTCAGCACATCTGCCCAGCTGCTGGGATCCCCATTCCCTCTCCTTCCTCTGACCCACCGTCTCAGCACCCCCTTTGAGCTGCAATGCCCGAGTGCCATTGCCCCTGTCCTGTCTCCTCCCCGTAGAAGGGACAGTACCAGCAGCCACTGTGTGGGGGGTGGGGGTCGGGGGTGGCAGGGTGGCATGACAAGGCCTTTCCTCTGGGCAGTGACAGTTTTCCCCAGGAAGCGCTGTGGGCGTGGGCCTCCAGCTCAGGAAAATCCACAAGGTCTGGTTGGGGCAAATGCAATGGCTCCAAAATATTGAAACCACAAAACCGAAAACAATAGTAAATGTTTACTTAAGTTTCTTCTAGAAGTAACACTCCATCAGCCTCACCCACTGTTACACTTAGTATTTTAAAACATGTCACTGCGCGTGAAAACAATTTGTAGGTCACATTTTCTCACTTTGGAAAAATCCCCAAGATTCCCAAGAATGCATGGCGTTTGTAGAAAAATCAAGGCCAGCAGCAAATCACAAGAGCTACTTGTACCCAGATAGCTTCAAAAGCTAAGTTAGAACATTATTTTCAAATATGTTTATGGCCAAAATATACATATAAAGTTGGGGTCTATTTGCAATTTTTATTTTTTATTTAAAAAAATTTTTTTTCATTTATTTTGAGAGAGAGATAGCAAGGGAGGGGCAGGCAGAGAGAGGGAGGGGGAGAGAGAGAGAGAATCCCAAGCAGGCTCTGCCCTGTCAGCGCAAAGCCCGACTCGGGGCTTGAACCCGCGAACTGCGACATCGTGACCTGAGCTGAAATCAAGAGTCGCCTGAGCCACCCAGGCGCCCCTGAACCAATTTTTTTTTTTAACCGCACTCTTCAGCAGTATCAAGTGCATTCACATTGTTGGGCAACCCATCTCCAGAACGTTCTCATCTTGCAAAACTGAAACTCTATACCCATGAAACAACAACTCCCCATCCCCCCTCCTTCCACCTTCCGGTCCCTGGCAGCCACCATCCCACTTACTATTTCTAAGAATTTGACGACACCAGGTATCACATATAAGTAGAAGCATGCCGTGTTTGCCTTTTCATGGCTGGTTGATTTCACCGGGCGTGATGGCCACAAGGTTCATTGGTGTGGTAGCATGTGACAGGATTTCCTTCTTTTCTTTTTTTTAATGTAAACACTACCCCCAACGCGGGGCTCGAACTCACAGCCCTGAGATCAAGAGTTGCATGTTCAGGGCGCCTGGGTGGCTCAGTCGGTTGAACGTCTGACTTCGGCTCAGGTCATGATCTCTCGGTTCGTGAGCTCGAGCCCCACGTCGGGCTCTGTGCGGACAGCTCAGAGCCTGGAGCCTGCTTCGGATTCTGTGTCTCCTTCTCTCTCTGCCCCTCCCCTGCTCATGCTCTGTCTGTCTGTCTCTCTCAACAATAAATAAACTTTTTTAAAAAATTAAAATAAAAAAAGAGTTGATATTCTCCTCTAGCCTCCAGGAGTCCCTTCTTTGTTTGAGGCAGAATATTCCCATGAGTGTGCATGCACGCGTGTGTGTAACACATTGTCTCTGTCCATTCTCCTGCCGATGGACATTCAAGTTGCTTCTATCTCTTGGCTATTACCAAAAATGCTGCAATGAACTTGAAGGTACAGATACCTTTTCAAGACCCTGGTTTCAGTTCTGTTGGCTAGATACCCAGAAGTGGGATTGATGAATCATGTGGTAATTCTATTTTTAATTTTTGGAGGAACCTGGTATGGGTGCGTTTAATCGATTTTGTTCCAGTTTTACAAGGATGTGAGCGACTTATAACCTCGTATTCGTTTTTGGTATACAACACGATGATGTGACACAGGTATGCATTGTGAAGTGATCACCACCAGAAGTTTCCTTAACGTCCACTACCTCACGTAATTATCATTTTTTTTTCTTGTGATGAGAACTTTTAAGATCTACGCTTTTTGCGACTTTCAAATACGTCACACGGTATTGTTAATTACAGTCACCAGGCCGTACGGTTAGATCCTCAGGGCTTATTTGACCTTATGTCTGGAAGTTTGGAACTTTTGACCAGCTTCACTCATGTCACCTGCCCCGCACTGGGTGCATTTTTAAATGTTTTTATTGGGATGTGGAGTGGAGCCCTGGCTGAGGCAGGTGTAAAAATAGCCCCGTGTGTGGGCAAGGCATTCAGCGTGCAAGCTGGGGGGGGGGGGTCCCCAAGTAAAACTATTTTTCTATCACTCAATGTCATCTTAAAGTTTTTAAATTCATTTTGACAGAGGGAGAGAGAGCAAGTGGAGGAGGGGCAGAGAGAGGAGACAGAGAGACAGAGAGAGAGAGAGAGAGAGAGAGAGAATCCCAAGCAGACTCCTACTGCCAGGGTGGAGTCCTATGTGGGGATCGAACCCACAAACCATGAGATCATGACCTGAGCCAAAACCAGGAGTCGGACACTTAACCGACTGAGCCACCCAGGCGCCCCATCACTCAATGTAATCTCGATCGAACACTCATTTTTTATCTCAAGGCTGTCCCTTGTCCAGGGCTCTTTCCTTATCCCTGCGGAGCCCGGAGGCTGTCATTGGTCCTGCCGGCCCCTTGCAAGGCTCCTCTGAAGCTCCAACATCCAGACTCTGCAACTCCAACACGTTCTTCTTCCCACCTTTCTGATCCGCTGTGAATTGGCTTTCATGAGCCCTGGGCACTTTTGACTGGCATGGGTCAAGATATTAAAACCTATTTAATGACTGGGCACCTGGGTGACTCCGTCGTTAGGCATCTGACTTTGGCTCAGGTCGTGATCTCACAGTTTGTGAGTTCAAGCCTCACACGGGGTGAGCTTGAGCCCCACATGGGGTGAGCCCTGCTTCTCTCTCTCTCTCTCTCTCTCAAACAAAACAAAACAAAAACCAAAAGACGTATATTTTATGACTGCTTTGGTATAAAGATGAACACAGTCCTGACTGGACTCATTTGTTATATATTCACTAGATTATATTCATTTTTTTGTCCTTCTAAAACATTTCTGTGGGTTCCTAAAAACAGGTGCGTGGAGATACTCCATTCGCCCGACCACGTGGGGCAGGGGCACAGAAGTTCAGGGTGGGAGGGAGACCCGTATGCTAACGCCTCAAAATGTCAGCCTCCTGTATCTCCAGCACCCACGTCCACCCACGTCGCCCCTCTGCTCCAAACCTTCTCTCCACGGGGAGCATTCCCCTCCCACCTGTGACCGCATCACGCACCGCCTCCCCATCCTTCCAGACCAGCTCAGTGTGACGGCCTCCGCGAGATCTCCTGAGCCCGCACCACCTCCATACCTCTCATTCATTTCTCCGCCCTCCACTTACCCACCCCTGCATGTCCATTTCTTCCCTTCAGCTGTGAACCCCTTGAGGGCACGGACCACAGCTGGCTGTTCTCTGGGTCCCCAGTGCCCAGCAGGCGGCCTGGCACACAGCAGACACGCAGTGAATGCCGAACACATAAGCGGGCGGCCGAGTGAATGAATGAGTGAGTGAGCAAGGAGGATGGGAAAGAGGGCAGTGGTCTGCTCCACAAAGGGGTCCGCTCTGCAGGCCTCCACAGACGGAGGGTCTGGGCGGATGGGGGAGCCAGGGCTGGGCTCCCCTCCCGGCCCCGCCCTCTGACTCACTCCTCCCCCAGAGACCGATTTCTGGGAACACGCCGACAACTTGGCTGGCCTCCCTGGCTGAATCCTCCGTGTTGACCATGTTCTGCCCCGGGAGTCCCCGCGTTCAGAGGCTGTGCTCCCAGGCTGCAAGGCCAAGGCCAAGGTGGTGCAGAGGGAGAGCAGTCATGTGTCAGCAGGAGGGGCTGGAGCAGCCCCCATACAGCCTCCTCCTTCCTTGTAAAGTGGGTGCGCTGCAGGATGCTGAGCACCCCGCGGGCGTCTCTGGGGAAAGGGGGTGACAGCACCTGAGGCTCGGGGTGTCACGCGAATCAAATGAGAAACCTGTGTAGGTGGCATCTAGAGGAACCAGGTGGCATCTAGTGGGTGCTAAAGAGATGTCATCCGGGTGCAACATGGCAATTCGAGACCGTGCGGTGAATATCGTCACTCCCGGGGATGCCCGGCCCCTCAAGCCCCTTCCTCTCCGCAAGCCGCTCCTCCCTCCCCCCCCAACCCATCTTC